AGCACATGACATAGGAATAAACTCACAGGGAGCAAGTACAGCAGGGATCTACCAGTCGTCAGTAGAAATTATCCTCGTCGACAAGTGTTTCGGCCCACGATTCCTAGACACTTTCGGAGGTGGGCCCACCTGAGTTCATGAAGCTCAGGGCTGGTACCCTGCTGCACGAGATTACCGGATGGTGTTTTCTTTTGGATAGGGACAAGACAACTTGGTGGTTTGCAGAAGGTACTGTGAGGTAAGAAGTCCACGCGGCAGCCTAATTAAAGCAGTCAGCATACCTGGACGACCGAGCGACAAGCTTACGATTGGTTTACCGGACACATGTTGGACTTTTATTAGCAGGTGGCAGAGGATCACTGGCAGACAATTCGGACACGATGGACTTTCAAGGGGTGACACCTCACAGACCACTTAACCATGTTAACACCGGACGGTAATACATCGTACGCCGAACGAACGATAAAGCTCAGTCGCAGCGGGGTCATCCGCCAGATCTCACCCCATGTGAGTATTCTTGGCAGTGCGCTCTCCAGGCTGACCCAATGGCCCTGCTGCGACTGCTGGGCTGCTTTCTGGACCCGAACCTCGTTTTCGTTGTCCCTCACCATTTGTATTACCATGTCTCGGCGTTTTTTTGGCTGAGGCCTTTGACCACCAATTGACCTGCCTGTGCCTTAGGCCTCGACGGTCGGTTTGAGTGTATCCCATTATCTCCTTCAATTTTAGTGCATTCTGGGCAGATTCTATCGCATCGAGGACCCTCCACTTCTGGCCAGTCTTTAGAGCGGGCTGGACAGCGATGACATTTGGGTCTGAAGACTTGCGTAAGAGCATGGCGAGTCTTACTTTGCCAACTTTGAACTCTTCAGTTATCGATTTGAACAGGAGTACCAGCTTAGCCTGCTTGCAATACAGAGCCACGTCGGTCAGACAAGGCGGTGCACCAATCCACTTTCTCAAGGCTGTGTTGATTTTCCTGTCCATGGTTTCCACTGCAGTCATCGTCACCTCGTAGACTAACAGTGGCCATAGGAGCTTTGGAATCAACATGAATTGGAGACACCATACCTTGAATTTCCCGATCAGCCTGCAACGCTTGATCGCGAGCAGGCCTGTAGCCAGTGACTCGTGTATTCGCCGGACCTCCGCTCTATCTGATAACTTTGAGTCGTAAACACGACCGAGGCTCTTCACTGTTTTATCCATAACCGTGGGGATCTTACTGGTTGCCACCACCAGACCCTTAAAGATAGACAGACTCCTCGACTTCTGCGGTTTGAACTGCATACCGCTCCATTGGACCACCGTGTCCAATTTTTTCAGGATAGTGCTGGCAGACTCCTCGCTGCCCGTTATAATAGTCGTGTCATCCATAAAGGCACGTAATGGTGGCATCCAGAGATCCCCTATTTGAAGGCCCAGTCCGTAGCCGACCGCCCCGTCCAACATGATCTGCATGGCCATGACGAACAGTATTGGTGAGATCGTACACCCCATAGCTATCCCAATCTGCAACTCAGTCCACCTCGTGGTAAACGTCGAGGTAGAGAAGCGCAAAGCGAACTTAGAGAAATATTGCTCGATCATTTGATTGATCTGTGCCCGTACGTGAAACATGCGAAGGGCTCGCCACAGTAGCCTATGGGGGACTGCCCCGTAGGCGTTGGCTAAGTCCAACCATATAACGTGCAATTCTGTTCTCTCATGCTTAGCCTTCCAAATCATGGTCGCATATTCAAGGCACCCAGGAACGCCTGGAATACCACCCTTCTGAACACTCGTATCGATGTACTTGTTAGCCATCAGATACTGTGTGAGCCGGCGAGCTATGACCGAGAAGAATATCTTACCCTCGACATTCAACAGCGAGATGGGCCTGAATTGGGAAAGACTCTTTGAGTCCTGCTCTTTGGGAATGTAGACCCCATTTGCCTTTTGCCACTCTGGACATATGTGATTGCGGATCCACGCTTGTCTCAACAAGACGTGAAGCATTTTTAGGATTTTCGGGCAGCGCTTGTAAAAAACGTACGGAACACCGTTCGGACCTGGGGCAGACTTGCCGCTGGCCTTTTTAACAACTTCCTCAACCTCAGACCAAAGGAGAGGTATCATTTTAAATGGTACCTTCGGCACCGAAGGCTGCTTGAGGCCGCTAAGGATCTCTGGATTGTCATCGAGAGGGTCTCTCCTCTTTTTGTCGGAGTACATCTTGTGTAGTACATCTCAAGTTCTTCCTGACTGACAACCAGAGTCCTAGACTTCGGTTGCTCGAATAGACCTCGGGCAAACTGATACGGGTCCCTAAAGAATTTCTCTCTATCCCTTTTGGTTCTCAGTCTGTTGGCACAGAAATGCTCAGCGCGACAGAGGGCACTGTGTCTGTTCTTTAAATGCAACCAGACTTCGTACAACCCCTCCCGTTCGCTATCTGTAGCGGCTTTGAACCGTTTTCTGAGGGCATTCTTGTCTGCCCCACACTTCAGAATGTCCCTCTGCCTCCTGCTAGTATTCTGCTTGTCACCCGGCTGTGCCTTTTTCACTGTCCCGAACTCGTGGGAGCAGTGCTCATATATAACATCACCAAATTTTGAAAGCTTGTCGCCTAACGACTTCTTGTTTAAATCATGTTTAAGTACCTCACATAATGTAGCCTCCAACTTACACCACACCACCTTATCGCTTGCAGGTGGAAACCTGATCCTGGAACGCATTTCCTCAGAAATCATCAAAGGTGCTCCTCCGCAGTCGACGTCATGGGCCTCTCCGGGCGAGTGGGGTTCACCCTGCCCGTCATTCCCTGACGACTCAGAAACTACCACAGGAGTATTAGTTTTGCGACGGCGTTTACTGCGTGGAGCACCCTCGCATTTCATTCTTCCGGCATGCGTTCTCAGACCATGTGTAGTGAGTTAATTTTCTCCCCATTAATTTATGCCCGACAGATGACGTCAGTAATAAATGTAAGGGGAATGTTTTGACTGACTGGGATAACACGAGATTTGTGTCTGAGTTTCATGGGAGACATCTGAAAGTCAGGTTTTATGTGAAACATGATTGTTCACGTGAACCATGAAGGTTGACTGGCAGGCTTCGTGTGAAATGCGAATTATCACGGGCCAGACACGATTTTCAACGGTGGGGAATTCGTGAGAATGAAGTTATACAGAATATTCGAGACGAACATGACAGAGATCAGAGGGCTATATAATAGCGGAGAAAGGATTGAGAGGCAGTCTCGTTTAGGCCAAGGGAATGTGTACGTGAGAAGATGAAGTCCGGAAGAATGTTGGCGTCTGCATAGCGTGATTTCCCAATGCCTACCTGGCATGAAATAGCGGCTGACGGAAACGGTGGCCAGCTGTGAATGACTGTCGTCTGGTTGGATGGAATTACTGTGTTTCGCTAAGTTGTGGGATGAATTCTACGATGTTACAAAGGTATAACTGACTGTTTAGATCATTAAATAAGTAATCGATGAGTGATACTGTTGTGTATGAACATTTACTGACTGCAACATCAGCGAGTGAAAATAAACGGTACGTGTAACTTCGGAACGTCTGCCAGCGTCCATGTTTTCTCGTTCTTGTCAGTCGGTGAATGGAAGGATGCGGTGACTCATTCGAGCCAGCAATTAATAATAAAAAAGATCATCGCACCATGCAACCCCTTGAAGCTTTTCCCACATGTACAGAGCCAGCCTGGACGTTGGGCGAGTATCTGAGTCCGGGGGCTAGCATAGTCGTCACCGAGAGTATCAATTTGATTGGGCCCTTCATTCTCCCCCCCTTTCGGAGGGCCCTGGGAGCATATTTCTATGTGGTTGTACGAAATCGGAGGTATTATACTGTGTTAGGGGTGATCAACCCGGTCCACAGTCGACATGTCTCCAGATGTCAGTTTATCCCCCCGGCGATACCGGGGGGCCAGTCTTTCCATAGGTGTCACAAGGTCTTTCCCGAGAGTCACCAGTCTTTCCTGGTAGTCTTGTGGGCTAGCCACGTACAATAGGAATAAACTCACAGGGAGCAAGTACAGCAGAGATCTACCAGTCGTCAGTAGAAATTATCCTCGTCGACAAGTGTTTCGGCCCACGATTCCTAGACACTTTCGGAGGTGGGCCCACCTGAGTTCATGAAGCTCAGGGCTGGTACCCTGCTGCACAAGATATATTAAACTCTGACAGAAAGTCCTGGTTGTTGTAGACTTCTGGAACACTGGATTTGTTCCAGGATGTGAGTATTGCATGCACATCTGTTGTACAAATCTGGCTTATTTGTGTGCACAGTATTTACTGCTCACCTTGTTCGTGACTTTGATAAAGAAAAATATCCTGTTTCTAGGATGATCGTGGAGAGATGTAGATAGATCTTGCCTTTGTACTTTTGCACCATCACTTGTGGATTCACCACTCATTTTGAGAGATTTAGATAGATCTCGTCCTGGTACTGTTGCACCATCACTTGTGGATTCATCAACTCATTTTGAGCTGTTTCTATGCCAATGTGAGTTGGGTCCTAATTAAGGATTCACTGACATCTGATATGTAGGGCTGGAAGGCGCAGATGTCACTGCCTGGCCGTAAACCAACAAAACAATGTACCAACTGCCTGTTCAAGGATGGTCACAGAAATATAAAAATAATTGCCAGTGTACTCCGTGTTCAGTGGAGTAATTTTTCAGCCATCATTGGACACACAATCTAATTGTTTAAAAGATCAGCTCTCATCCTGTGGGTCATGACCTATTTGGGGGTCAAACGACCCTTTCACAGGGGTCACATTAGACCATTAGAAAACACATATTCACTGAAGTTATGAAGTAGCAACAAAAATAGTTGTATGGTTGGGGGTCACCACAACATGAGGAACTGTATTAAAGGGTCACACAGGAAGGTTGAGAACCACTGGCTTATAGGGACAACTGATTCATTTAATAGAACGAGTTTCAGTAGCAGCTGTCTCGTCCTGAAGGAGTTGATCAATATTTGCTTTCAGGGGTACAGTGAGGCAACTCAGAAGGATGCTCAAGTACTACTATAGTCACCAAAGAATTTCTCTTTACCACCTGATGTTGTCATCCAATGAGAGAATGCAGTTTGATTTTCTGGTAGTTATTGACTTTGAAGCAACTTGTGCTCAATATAATGATGACTTTGTGCAAGAAATAATTGAGTTCCCTGCCGTGCTAGTGGACATCAGATATCAGGTTGTGGTAAGTCTTATAACTGGTAATTTGTGTTCTTTTTCTTCTTGGTGTTCACCGGCTGTAAGTTCTGGTTGTTCATCCACTTCTGGACTCCAATCCTGTTCCAGGACCTGAGTGTTGAGTGTATATCCGTTTCACAGATATCATTTACATGCGGACTGTTGGTTCCTTGCCTCTTAGTCACATGCACTCCAAATTCAAAGAAAGCTCCCAATTAGTCAACTCTTACATGTTTTTAGGCAGGCAGTTGGTCTATTTTTGTTTTCCCTACAACTGAGCCCCGGAACCCACGGGGGGGGGGGGGGGGGGGTAATTTGTGTTGTTTGAACCTTGTATCAATAAATATATATATTAAAATTCCCCCATCTTTTTATTTATATCTATTGATGTATATGTGTGTATAAAATAAACAAACAGACAATGTATTGATTGACACACTAGCAACACATATATTGAAACTGTAATCATTGTGCACTGAAGATACCTGGGGGAGGAAGGGGGTGTGCTTAGTTGGTCATGCATCTTAGTACACTTATTTCTGCAGCCAGACGCTCTCATAAATTGGAGGTGACAGGTTCCAGTCCCAGCATGGTAACTATAGGTTCAGTTGTTTATGTTGTCTGGTGTGTCCTTTTATTTTTCTACTTCTTGTATGAATGTAATAGGTACTATGTGTTTAGAAGGCATGAAACATTGGTCGTTTTAGGATTTAAAGATGTGCATTTTCTTATATAGGTGTTTCTTAATTAAATGTGGAAATATTTTCATGCTTTTTCAGCGTAGTTATTATCGCAGTTTCTGCAAGCCCAAGCTGAATCCAATTTTGACAGACTTCTGCACATCACTGACTGGTATTACACAGGTAACTTTTTTGGGTTAAGTAAAGGGCAATTATTACGTCTGTGGGGCATAAATCTTAGGATTCTAGACATGGTTTTTTATAAACCAATCAACACTATCGATTGATATGGTAAATGCCAAATATATCTCAACAGATAACCCAGAGCATGACTGGTACCCATCATATGCTGGGTAGCTCTGGAAGCCAGGGTCCATTTTTTTCCTTAAATCCATATGTATTTGAATCCAGAACAAACCCCCCCCCCCCCCACCCTCTTTCCCCAACAGGCTATTGTCTAGCCAGTGCCCTGCCACCAGTCCCATCAGCTGATTTCAGATGTACATCTGTCTAGGTTACATGAAGTCAGCTATTAACATAACATCAGATGTACATCTGTCTAGGTTATATGAAGTCAGCTATTAACATAACATCAGATGTACATCTGTCTAGGTTACATGAAGTCAGTTATTAACATAACATCAGATGTACATCTGTCTAGGTTACATGAAGTCAGTTATTAACATAACATCAGATGTACATCTGTCTAGGTTACATGAAGTCAGCTATTAACATAACATCAGATGTACATCTGTCTAGGTTACATGAAGTCAGTTATTAACATAACATCAGATGTACATCTGTCTAGGTTACATGAAGTCAGTTATTAACATAACATCAGATGTACATCTGTCTAGGTTACATGAAGTCAGTTATTAACATAACATCAGATGTACATCTGTCTAGGTTACATGAAGTCAGTTATTAACATAACATCAGATGTACATCTGTCTAGGTTACATGAAGTCAGTTATTAACATAACATCAGATGTACATCTGTCTAGGTTACATGAAGTCAGTTATTAACATAACATAACCCATGACCCCTTACAGTCGTGGCCTAATGGGTCAAGGGTTATGTTCGGTCGTGGAGATGTATTAGCTGAAGCACTAGCTTCTGTCTTCAGCTTGATAAATAAGTTTGTGATAACTTAGTCCTGTCCATTTCTTGATATCATCATTCTAGTTTCTTCTTTACCCTCCTCTTCTTCAACTACCCCTCAGTGTTCCTTGAAGCATAGTCTTTGCAATCAAATCATGTCTCATCATGTGCCCAAACCAAGCTAGTTTGCGACATTTCACAACTGCCAAGAGATGCTCCTGATATTCTGCTAACTCGTTTATTTTGTCTCTGACTTTTTTTTTTTCCATCGAACACCGGCTGTGAATTCCAGTGGAAGGTCCCGGTTAATCGTCCGCTTGGACTTTTGGCCTTCACCTGGACCTGATTTTTGCGTGTACAACCGTTTTTTATTTCCCTGCCTCTTGGGCAGCTGTACGCCGACTTCGAAGGAAGACGTCAGGCCTATTTCTAGGGTGACTGTGGCCATTGTTTTGTGTGGGTCGAGACTGCCTGATTTGTGTGGTGTCCGCCTTGTCTCCTTCGCCGCAGGTATTGCCCCCGGAGTAACCCTTTGGGGCAACCCCCTGTGGAACAGTTGGCCCTCAAGGGAAGGCAGGGGCAGATCATGGGCATTCCCCGCCATCCAAGGAGGCTTCCATGCATGCAGAGCCGGCACATGGCGCTCTGGTTCTGGGCTCACCCAAGGAATCGTCACGTCCTGCACATGCCTGCTTAACCTCACAACCGTATCAGGCCTCCCGCTCGACAGGGGCTGCGCCCTCTGGAAGTCAGCGGGGAGCAGCCCGTTGGTTTTGGACTTTTGTGACCACACAGATAGGTACATTAGCCCGGCAGAATTTCACATCCTGAATCAGGCATATCGTTATCAGTTTTGTCCCAACACTCGGGCGAGTGGGGTCTTTGGGTGTGGACATTCGGCCTTTTGCATTTCAGTGCAAATTTTGATGGTCAGAATTTGATCCGTATGATCTAGTTTTGTCGGACATTTAGGATTAGCCATCCGATGGATGGTTGCTGTTGTGGTGTACCACAGCGCGGTGATGACGACACTGAGGGTTAACCGAGGATGTACGTGACTGGCCAGCCTATGGATGGTTGCTGTTGTGGTGCACCTCAGCGCGGTGACGACGACACTGAGGGCCAACCGAGGATGCACAAGGATGGCCAGCCCATGTATGGTTTCTGTTGTGTTGCACCTCAGCGCGGTGACGACGACACTGAGAATTAACCGAGGATGAGCATTGAACAATGTTCTCTTTACTCAGCAGTCTTTTAACCAAGGGTTGTGATTTTAGCTGTACTTTTGTCGAACCTACTCATGTTCCTAATGAGTTTTGATAACATTTTTCACCCAAGCGTTTGGGGGCGGGCTGATGAGAGCCACGAGGACACATCACCTCTGGGGGCCGCCAAACTCCGAGATCCCCTGACAGCTCTGTTAATGCTCATTTGAGACATTATCCCTGGCGCACGACGAGGACGTGCTGTAGGGGTCTTGCGTGAGGTTCCGTACAACCAGGATAGTAAAGGACTGGCGCCCGAGTGACGTACGGAGTATCTGCTTATACACATCATGTTGGACTTAACTTCCCCTCACGCCTGTGACATAAATCACCGCGCCACTGTCTCTGACATATTTATTAGTTTTGCGCTCTAAATAACTAAATCTTAAAATTAGTTTATAGCATTTACATTTGAAAGCCTGAATCCGCCTTTCCAGCTTTCACATCCATATAAGTCAATTATTATTGGCTGTTGGATGTGGTGGTGCAGCTTAGAGCTACAGGGAATAAACATTTCACCAAGGTGACAAGGTTTGATTACTGAGCACCGAATAGGTGTTGTCAGCAGCTCGGAGCAACTATTGATCTGTCCAGAGAAAAATATAATCCTCACAAATCACCATTATCAGCTGTTGATAATTATGAAGTGTCGTTTGTTTTGAAATTAGTGTAATCATTTAGGGGTATATTATTGTAATGATAGGCAGGTGTTTTGTTATTCTGTTGTTTTGCTGGTTCAGACAGTCATCGGGGCTGTTCATGTCCTCTTACTGTCTGTGTGTTTGTTGATTCATCTGCTCCTTGTTCTTTAAGCACCTTTAAAACGTCAGTAATTTACAGGATGTAAACCACTATGATTTCTTGTTTTAAAAGACAGTTTTACACTCAGTAATTTGCAGTTGCCTAGAATTGGTCGATGCTCATAATGTTGTTGAAATCAACATAAAGCTGGCTGCTGCAAAATTGCTTGCACCTGGATCAAACCCAGAATGTTGGAATATGAAACTTTTCATTACAGATAAGCTCGATGCAGACCATTTAACCTTTAAATTATATGTAATTTTTTTCTCATATTAATGAAGTAATAACTTAGGGTAAATGTGTCTGCTTTCTGGGTTTTCATCCCTTTTTCATTCTAAACCTGTTTCTAAAAATTTGTTCATTTATGTGATGAAAAGTAATGATTTAAATGCACTTCACTGCTTTACTCCATTTGTTTATGTCTGTTCTGTGAAAGTATTGAGATGCTGCCCAGCTAAAATGGTTTAAAAAAACTTCCTTTTTTAAATCTTTCTAGGCACAGGTTGACAAAGCTAAGAGTTTCAAAGAAGTACTGGAGAACTTTGAAGAATGGTTGAACGTGCAACATCTTGGCACAGCTTATACGTTTGCAGTTGTCACTGATGGGTAAGTTATTTTGTTTGGACCAGTCTAGTTAATGGGACAAGTGGCAGATAAGCCTAAGTCTGGATAACTTGGGGTATATATGGGGTGTATTTAATCATTTAAATGTAGCTTGTTTTGATGACATAATACAGAAGTGTTTACATATCCATGAAGAGATGGTTCATGGTACACATACAGCACATCCAGTAATGATACGTATGAAAAGAAAAAAAAATGTCACAAGGAATGGAAGTGGGTTGATAAATTGTTGTTCTTAGCAACACCAGAGGAGCAATTCTCTGTTTAATCTTATAATTTAATTCAAAATAAAATTAAGACATGAGAGCCGTTGTGGTCTAGCGGCTAAACCCTTGGCTGTGGATCTGAAGGTCATGGGTTCGGCTTGTTTTTTTAATGGCATTGGCTCCCAGGGCCATCGTTTAGTGGGTACCAGGTACACTCCTGAGAAGTAAAGGCGGCCTATGTGATGCTGATCACATCACTGACCAAGTGCTGTTTGGTCTATAAAATATAGGTCTAGACCTATATACCCAAAACGTCTGAAAGGCAGGGAAAAGGGTCCTTTATTTAACTTTTGAGATTGAGACATAGGATTGGTGATAATAGACATGCAGTAAAGGTACCGTATGGGACTTATTTTTATGACAGGGGCACAAATTTGCATAGTGACTCATTTTATTAGACCAGTCGAGCCTCAGCAGGTGATGTGGCCATTTTTACTTCCCAGGACATTACCTCATGCCCACTGTTGGTGGGATTGACCTGGAATGCAGTTTCAGCCAGTAGACCTATAGCTTTGCATTACAGATTACCCAGCAAACACTGAATTAGTTAGTCACACATCGGACAATTTCATAATGCTTGGATTCTATCTTCGGTATCTCCCTCAGCATGTGGCGAGTGATAACACCAGTTCTTTGTTGGTTTGGCTGCTTGTATATTGCTCATGTTCAGCAACACATCTTTCAACATGAAGTTCTTGTAGTCTTGTCAAGGTTACCGATTAACCTTATTACTCTTCCTGTCTCACCGAGAACAGTGGCTCAGTCTATTGCTTTTCCTTAGTGTCTTGTCACTAAATTGAAAACGATTCTTGTCAAATGAGACTTTCTCAGTGGTGAACTGATACATGACAAGGCAAATGTGGTCAAGGCCCTTTGGGAACAAGCAACGGAATCAGTAGAGAAGCAAGATTATTATGGCCTGGAGAGAATGAGGTATCTGGGTGTAACCAGAGGGTCCAGTCGGCTCACTGCACTTAGAGGAAAGGCATGAATGACATAAAACCAGATTGTGACCGGTGCCATCAGTACTGGAACTCTGTGCTGGCTGCTGAAGATGAGAATGAAGCATCCATGGAAATGCCCCGACTTCTGTGATGTAAATTTTTTGACTCCACTCAACTCTGCCATTATTTTAAACTCCATATTGTTTTACTTTTCAAAGTTTTTCAGGGAATCTGTTAGAAAGCGAACATAAGGAACAAAATCTGTCTCTAGAAAAGTTATTGCTTTTTAATTAATATTAAGTCTGTACTTGAAATGTTAGTATTATTGACAAATATTTTTGTTTTTGTTTTATTACAGACCCTGGGACATGGCAAAATTTCTCCGCTGTCAACTTGAGCTGAGTGAGCTAAATCTTCCACTCTGGGCCACACAGTGGATCAACATACGCAAAGTTTTTAGGGTCTTCTACGATGCTGGCTATGTAAACCTACAGCAGATGGTGAGCCAGTCTGGCTTGCAGTTTCTGGGACGGCCTCACTGTGGTCTTGATGATGCTATGAACATAGCAGCAGTTGCATTGAAGTTGCTAAAAGATGGCTGTATCTTTACGCACAATGAATATTTCCGTTCGCAACGTTCATGACAGCAGAATTGATGGATGTTGTGATTGTGTTTACTTGGGGGGGGAAAATAAGCAACTGTACATATGTGATATATATGGTCAAGTGACAACACATTGTCTTTCAGATTTTAAAAGATCTTTCTGTCTCATTTTTTATGCAATCATTTTATTGACGGGAGAGTACCTTTTATCAAAACTTGTATGACTGACATTAAATTCCAATAGGGCTGCGCAACAAGTGATTAAAACCCAGATATTAGGACCGAATTACTGTTGATGCTTGTATAGTTGTTAGCATTTTAGGGCAGTTGATTTAGTAATGTAAAATATTCCTTGTATGTGAAACCTAATGTATTTTTCATATTAAAATGTGTAACTGGTATAAATAAATGGAAAGTCATTATAGTTTAACTCTCTCTCAGTGATGTGTGGGAAAATTAGCAGACTGATTGGTTGCTGCCACTTTTCTTCGATGTGAAATACTGAAATAATCTGGCGGTCAAGAAAGTTTCCTGTAGCAAGGCCTGATTTGACTCAGTACATAAGGTAAAAGATATGCAAATTTTTAGCCGTAGCACCGCCAACATGGAACTCTTTCAGTGGCTACTTTTCAGCCACAGTTTCACCAGCATAGGAACACTTTATTGGCTATTTTTCACTCATTACACCCTCAACATTGGAACTCTTTGCTCGTTACCTTTATCACCATCAATACGGAAGCTCTTCATTTATTATTTTTCAGTCGCAGCACCACTATCATGAACTCTTTACTCGTAACCTTTCATCACTATTAACACCGGAATTCTTCATTCCAAACTTTTCAGCACTATCAGCATGAGAGCTCTTCATTTATTATTTTTCAACTGCAGCACCACCAACATGGAACACTTCATTGGTTACATTTTAGCCACAGCATCTTTAACAGCACCTCTGACATAGGAACTCTTTACTTGCTACTTGGCTTCTGTAGAGCTTACTTTGCAGCACTGTGAACACGGAAGCGCTTCATTGGTTACTTTTCAGCCGCAGTGCCTTCAACATACGAACACTTCATTGGCAACTTTTTAGCCACAGCACCACTGACATGGGAACTCGTCATTGACTTCAGTAGAGCATATGAAAATGCATGTTAGTTTTTGACTTGATGATTCATTCCAATTGTTTCTGATGCTTTCGAAATGTCTGCTTTTTTAAAAACTATGCACAGCTGATTTGAGAAGAAAGGAAAAATTGAATAATCAATTGTCAGAAGGTAGAGAATTCTTGTGTTTAGAAAAAGTATCAGAAAAGCCACTGCTCTTGCAAAGCCATGGAAAGCCAAGATGGCATAGGCGGTTTATGTTGTTCTTAAAAAAACTACATGTGTCATAGTTTTATATAACCATTTACACATATTCTTGTACAGTGTATATCGCAGGTCGTTAATGGTGTTCTTGTATTATATTATCACTAGAATATAACAGTCAATGATAACTCACTTACATTGAACTGTAAATTACTCTCTAGCTGTAAGATGCTGTAATATAACTTGTATAGCTGGACATGGTTTTAGAGATTTACACCTGTTTGCCTCTCACCCATAAGATGTAAATCCAAAAGAACGGAATCCTGGAGAGGAAAATGTTATTAAATATGGATTTGTCAATGTTCACACTTTGAGATTTTAATTCCAATTCATATTTTTTACATTTAACTTTTAACCATTCCAATGTACATATTTTTGTTTTTACCTTGTCATGGATATTTTATCAGCCACCACAGTCCATTAGCAAGAAGTGTGTGCCTCAACTTTGCATTGGATGACTAGTGCCTCAACTTTGCATTGGATGACTAGTGCCTCAACTTTGCATTGGATGACTAGTGCCTCAACTTTGCATTGGATGACTAGTGCCTCAACTTTGCATTGGATGACTAGTGCCTCAACTTTGCATTGGATGACTAGTGCCTCAACTTTGCATTGGATGACTAGTGCCTCAACTTTGCATTGGATGACTAGTGCCTCAACTTTGCATTGGATGACTAGTGCCTCAACTTTGCATTGGATGACTAGTGCCTCAACTTTGCATTGGATGACTAGTGCCTCAACTTTGCATTGGATGACTAGTGCCTCAACTTTGCATTGGATGACTAGTGCCTCAACTTTGCATTGGATGACTAGTGCCTCAACTTTGCATTGGATGACTAGTGCCTCAACTTTGCATTGGATGACTAGTGCCTCAACTTTGCATTGGATGACTAGTGCCTCAACTTTGCATTGGATGACTAGTGCCTCAACTTTGCATTGGATGACTAGTGCCTCAACTTTGCATTGGATGACTAGTGCCTCAACTTTGCATTGGATGACTAGTGCCTCAACTTTGCATTGGATGACTAGTGCCTCAACTTTGCATTGGATGACTAGTGCCTCAACTTTGCATTGGATGACTAGTGCCCAAGCATTCATTCATTTTTTTCTCTCATGGGGTTTTAGAACTGAGTTGACATCCATGGTGTACTGTTTCAGAGCTGACTGAATGTAGAAGACAGGTCATTTTAACAGTGGTATTTGGTAGCAACAAAATTCTATTGATATTGGCTTGCTTCATGTTTTATTGAAATGTAGTCTGAGCAACTTATTTTATATTTTTTTCGCTTTTAAATCTTACTGGGGACGTTTATATATGTTAGCATAAACTACTTGACCCATGATAACCGGTGCAGTCAATGACTAACAAAACTTCAAAATACTTACAAAATAATTAAACTAATGTATTTTTTTGAAAAAGACATTATGTTTTAAATGATGTACATTTTGCACATTTTAATACCACTATTGAACAGTGCATGCTGGCACACACTGTACTAGCTTATGTGGGGGGGGGGGTGGGGGGGGGGGGGGGGGGGGGGGGGGGGGGGGGGGGGGGGGGGGGGTATGAGAAGATGCTTCTCTCTTAATTCCAGTGTATGTACATATTTGTTTGTTTTATGTTCTTTTTGTTGCTGTCCAGTTACTGCCCGCAGGCCAGGGTAATTATCTTGCAAGATACTCTTGCTAGGCTTTCATATACACACTAAAGTAACCCAGTGTAACTCCCGTAATAGCTAAAATCTGAATTTTTCATTGTATTTTATGTTTTCTTAGATTAGACTCATATTCACAGTCCATGGTT